CCCCCGTGTCCCCTCACCGTGACGTGCTCGTAGTCCTGGCCCAGCTCCCGGGACGCCGCCACCACCTCCCTCTCAGCGATCCACTGCTCCAGGTCGTCCATGTCCCGGCGCAGTTGGCACAGCCGGTGGTGGCCCTGCAGGGCCGCCCGGCGCTCCCCGGCCAGCTGGCACAGCCCCGCGTACAGGCGCTGCACTTGGGCCGCCCGGGCACGGAGCCGGTCACTGTCACGGGGGGACAGGGGCGTGTTGGGGTCACCCGGGGGGACAGGGGGATGTCACTGTCACCCAGGGGATATGGAGATGTCACTGTCACCCAGGGGACACGGGGATGTCACTGTCACGGGGGGACAGGGGCATGTTGGTGTCACCCGGGGGGACAGGGGGATGTCACTGTCATGGGGGGACAGGGGCATGTTGGGGTCACCCGGGGGGACACGGGGATGTCACTGTCACCCAGGGGATATGGAGATGTCACTGTCACCCAGGGGACACGGGGATGTCACTGTCACGGGGGGACAGGGGCATGTTGGGGTCACCCGGGGGGACAGGGGGATGTCACTGTCACGGGGGGACAGGGGCATGTTGGTGTCACTGGGGGACATGGAGATGTCACTGTCACCCAGGGGACACAGGGATGTCACTGTCACGGGGGGACAGGGGGATGTCGGTGTCACCCAGGGGACACGGGCATGTCACTGTCACCCAGGGGGACACAGGGCCCTGAGGGACAGCGGGCGCGGGGACAGGAGGTGACAGAGGACGCAGAGACCTCGGGGGATGACGGATGTGGGGACAGGGGGACACAGGGACTTCAGGGGCTGACGGCCACGGGCCCGAGGGTGTCCCCAAGGTGTCCCCGGGGTGTCCCCACTTGTCAGGGTGGCCCGAGGCCGCCACGTCCCGGCCCTGCTGCAGCAGCAGCTCCACAGGGACAGGGGGTGTCAGGGACAGAGAAGGGCTCAGGGGTGTCCCCAAGGTGTCCCCAAGGTGTCCCTGGGGTGTCCCCGGGGTGTCCCCACCTGTCAGGGTGCCCCGAGGCCGCCATGTCCCGGCCCTGCTGCAGCAGCAGCTCCACAGGGACACAGAGGGGCTCAGGGGTGTCCCCAAGGTGTCCCCAAGGTGTCCCCAAGGTGTCCCCACCTGTCGGGGTGCCCCGAGGCCGCCATGTCCCGGCCCTGCTGCAGCAGCAGCTCCACGGTCCGGCCGTAGTCGCGCAGCTCCTGCTCCAGCCCCAGGTGCCGGCTCAGCATGGCCTGGGCGCCCGGCTCGTCCTGGGGGGCACGGGGGGTCAGCCCGGGGGTCCCCGGGGTGCCGGGGGGGGGTCCCGGGGCTCCGTCCCACCTTGGCCTTGTCCTGGGCCAGCATGTGCAGCTCCCTCTCGCCCAGCCAGGCCTCGGCGGCCGCCGCGTCCCCCAGGAATCGCTGGGCGGCCAAGGCGGCCTCGAGGCGCCGCTGCCGCCGCGTCACCTCCGCCCGCAGCTCCCGCCAGGCCTCGCGCAGGGCCGGGACCCCCCCGGGGCCCCCCTCGGCGACCCCCGGCACCCCCGGCACCTCCGGGACCACCCGCTCCAGCAGCTCGGCCACGCGGCGCTCGCGGCCCTGCAGCTCCTTCTGCAGCGTCTGCGGGGGCACGGCGGGGTCAGGGGGGGTCGGGGGGGGTGGGGGGGGACAGGGAATGCACGGGGGGGTCCCCGGAGTCCGGGGACCCCCCG